CAACGTCAGTCGCGTCCCTTCCCGTCATTCTTACAAATTAATCTTAAAAGATAGACATATAACGTACCGAACTTTATTTTTAGATTATTTTAAGAGGAATTAAATAGCGTCGGTTGGTTGGTATATGGAGAAACTGGCTGGGCTACACAGGGGTGGTGAGCGGCGTGAGCATAAAGAGGAGAAAGGTCGATGTCTTATTTGACTTTGGGCTCGTTGGTATAAGGGTAGCAATGTATGGTTAATAATTAACGGGTTGTGGGTTCGACCTCCAACGAGTCTAAACTGTTTATAACTTTTCAAAAACATGCTGGACTTCGTTTGGAAATCTGGATATTAAATAGGTCGAAGGAATATTAAAATTCCGTACCAGTCACTAACCACTGTCCACAGATAAAAATCTGTGAATTTTAATCGTGTTTCGGTTTCAAAATTTCCGAATATCCAAAGCTAAAATAGGTCGACAGCATATCTTGTTCATTTGTTGTCATTTCACCTACCATCAGCTGAACCCCAGGCTAGTCTCTAGTATAAAAAAATCGAAAAAGTAGAAGTCGCAACACTATTGAACGCAAGTTAAGGTTGAAATTAGATTGCGCGAGAGGTGCATGTATCAATAAGTTGAAAAAAATCGACGATGTGGTGTAAAACTCGGTAGCTCAATTGGTTAGAGCGCTGACGATGCCGGTTCGAGTCCTGCTCGAGTCGTAAATGATTTTAATTTATTTTCGATGTTTAATTCATATAGTGCAATGTGAAAAATAAAGTTTTCAGAAGTAGATGTCATTATTAATGCACTTAGTATATCGACATAATTGAAAATTCGTACGAATACTAAAGATTACCCGCGCAATGGTTTGCAATAAATTAGAATTCCCTCTAATCCCTTTATATGGATGTACCGTGTTCGTACAGCAACTGTTTAACAGAGCCTTAATCCGGCATTTCACGCGGGATTCAAGGCAAGTCCGAGGCATTTTCAATGCTTCTAAGATCCAGACTTTAAGCCGTTCGGGGCTGTTCTCATTAGACAACTAAATACGGTCTTATGGCTTATTGTACGAAGGATATGTGATTAATATTGGGGCGTAATGTAGCAAATCTTTGCGTTGAAGATATATATATATATATATATATGACTTACAAAAAGTACGATTGTTAATACGTATAAAAACATCCGAAAGTTACTGAAATAAAACACTTTTAACCGTTTAAAACCTGAGTTATATTAACTAACTTATTTTTACTTCAACTTAAATTCGGTCCGACTTTTGAGATATCTTTGTTTAATATATCTATGTTTAGTCCTTTTAAAAGCTACTGAAAATATTTAAAATAAATTATTAAAAATGAAGTATTGTCTGCGGTTAACAAGATTTTTTGATATGAAAGAAAACATTTTTAACGGCTATAAATGTGTCGAGACACGAGAGTCGTGTCTGACGAGAATAGGTACGTAAAATAAATATGCTTATTACCTTCAAAATTTTTAGAATATTCTTGTCGTAAAATTATTCAGCATTTAACGGGACCCAGATGGACACTGTTGGATTGTGGACACAGTGGATTCGCGCCAATAATATAAATTAATTGCTCACAACTCGATTAATTAAACAAAGTTATTATGTAGTGCATTATTTCATTATTCGCATCATAAATGCATAAAGCAATTTTGATAATTACGTCAGATTTGATGTTGATTAGAAACTAATTAATTCGTGTTAATTAAATTCAACCAATAGTGATTTATTTTCCTCGATTCGTATTCTCTTGTTTTTTTTTTTAAGTTCTACTTCTAGTAAAATTATGTATGCAATTTTATTTTTTAAGATAAAACCTTTTTATGATTTTGAAGGTGATTTAAGATCGACTCGTAGCGATTTACGATCTCGTAGCACTCTCGTAGCTCCTTCGTAGTAATTTCGTAGGTAAATTGTAGCACAAACATAACATATATATAAAAAATTCTCAGTTTTTCTTATTAGATACCGTTAATTACGTACTCTGAAAGCTTTCGAAAACACTCAATACGTATTTTATCGACTCTCTATCGTTGAAGACGCTAATATCACCGTTGTGACCCCCGTGACCACGTTCGCAGCGTGGCATCCAAAACTTTGGAGCTTAATGAAAATTAATTAAAAATAAGTTAATTACCACGTGTCGCGTTTTAAACTGTTAAAAGTGTTCTCTTTAAATGTGTTGTACTGGCGTAAACTACAGACAATACTGCATCTTACAATTTAATCACCACCATTAAATCAATAGCAACCCTTTGAAATTATTTTCTGCTACCACAAATCAAATTAGTGATAGTGGGTGAAGGCGCTTCATATATATTAATACAACGTATTCAATCAATGAAACCTTCCACAAAACCTTTAGAACTACACACGGATCTTTCCCCCCGGGACTTTTAATCGAACCCTTTGGAGCGTTAAGCAAACACACAATCAAAGAGGTTTTAAAGCGATCGCGCCTCGTGCGAGGTTTGTCTTTGATCCGGGCTTTGCAAACAGGTTATGTTATTACCATTGTTCTAACGTTGGCATAAAATAATGTTTACACGGTCTATGGGTGAAGCAATTCAATTTATAACAAAAGGGCTTGTTACAGCTTTCAGCCACAAAATGTAAAAGTTCTCTTTAAGGTTTGAAAAAAATATAGTCGAATAATGTAGATTTACTTAATATAAAAATTGCAACTGGTGTGTTGAAAAAAAAATACATCTTTATTAAATTACTTTCCATAAACATTAAACACAACCTAATACACAGACTTAACTGGAACGAAACAGGTATATAGGAACTCTTAATTATGGCACTTTTTTTTGAATTACCAGTTATATTAACTGATAAAAAATTAGTATATAAATTGTATAAGGCTTTCACGGTTTCACAAATTTCTGTAAAATCCTTCAACCACAAATAATTGAACAACTACTACAAATTATAATAAAAAAAAAACAAACAAATGCAATGGCGAGCATCTCAGAAATTCAAGAAATTTGATCATAGCTTATTTTTAAATAAAAAAAATGTAAGCTGAATTCATCGTCATTGTTGTCAATCGCGTTAACATTTTACGAAGATAATATAGATAAAGAATACGTCGTTCCTGTATAAAAAAAATATATTCGTACATTACAATAAAATATCACGTAAGCGCAAGTCTTTTCTCGTCTCAGCGAGTCTGACGATACATTCCGAAAAATAAAAACGACATCAGTACAGGTGTGCTAAATGTGTTTTTCTCACAAATTCCGGGGATTAATCATTTGTACTAAGGTAAGGAATGGATAAATAAAACTTAATACCTCCAGCTGTTCTTGTACAAAAACTAGCTTTTCTTGATTCATCGTGTAGTTATGTATTTTGTGTTGTATTCGCTTTTCACCGTTTTTCCTTATGTATGTACTCTCGTATTTGCGTATGCGTTCTCTTTGATTCGTAAAGACTTATTTTTTTATGATAGAGATAAGCATAGTGTACACTTAGGCTTGCCAGTTAGTTGGAATTCTCCCGATTATAGGTGAAATACTCCAATAACAGCATACCAAGGTGCGCTGTCGACCTATTTACCTATTTTGACTAGGGTAAATGAAAACACAAGTATAATAATTTATATATTTTTATTATTATTTACAAATCTAATCACATCCGTCTTTCTCACTTAAAGAATAGCTCTAGTGAATGTTTCAATAGTGCGAGTCCTTCAAAACAAACATCGCAGGAATGTGGACTTAATTTCTTATAGTCAAACATATATATGAATTTCACACCTTGAAATATTAACTAGAGAGATAAGAATTACCTAATATCATACACTAATAATCACAATCTTTCGCTGAGCTAATCACACACATTAAAGTATTTTAAAATTCGTTGATAAGAAGTGTAAAGGATAGACGACGCGGGCGGTTATGACCATAGCCATGCGTGTCTATCAATTAAGCTACTGGTCGAATTTAATATAAAATATAATGTTAATTTACTTTTATTTTACTTCAATGCAAGTGGTGAATTTTAGCTCAGTCTAAAGAAAAATAGGGTAACTATCAATGAAATTATATATTTTTACCTTTGACCTTTGTTTTATAAGCCATAAAAAGTTTTACCGTAATAATGTGCAACTATAATTTACAAGACACATTAATTGTTTTGCCAAAGATTTCTTTAATGACTTATTTAGTTAACGTTGCAAAATATGTGTACAGAATCAAAACGAAAACGAATTTACTCTCTCTCTACCTATTTTCATCATCTACCCTACGGAATGTCTGTATTTACAATTTTAAATTCACAGGCCGAAACCAACATTATACAACATACAACTATATTATATTGTTCGAAGGCACATGTTTTCAAATAATTACTAAATTCTCTATACGAACTAAACCGTATCTACACAATTTATAGGTAGGCCATCTGTACACTATTGTATAACAAATTAATATTTGAACTAAGGCCCGTTACATACTTACTTATGCCGAATGAGGCAACGACACACTTAAAACCGGTTTTCCCAGGCAAATGTGCGGTTGGCTCTAAGATTTTTATCGATTCACATTATATATTGTTTTATTTTTGTACAAGAAAGATTCAACTTTTAAGTATATTTTTATAATATTTGGTTTTTAATCACATACATCTATGGAAAATATATTGCATTTTAACTAAGCTTCGCTCAGACCGCGAGTTTCGTCACTTTAACAATTCTACCCTCAATTATGGTTTTCCTATAAACAGAGTAAACAAAGTGAAGGAGCAAAAAGAAGAACCTATGAAATCTTATTTTAGTGTTTTTTCTTGTTTCACTGTAGGATTACTATCGCGTTCACTAATTTATTATTAACAAAAGAAAATAGCTCTATAAAATGTAATCTGCGGGTAGTCCATAACACGGATGACGTCAATGCGCCATTAGCCAATCGCCGCTCAGTTCTCCGGCGCCACGCGCGACGACAGTCGCGGCGAGCGGAGCGGAGAGCGGCGAACCTCGGGCTATTTCAGTCTTTTGAAGCCGGCCCCGTCGTGCCCCAGTTTCAACTCCTCGTACAACGTCGGGTCCACTTCCCTGGCAGCGGGGACAGCTGTGCTGGGATTCTGGAGCGTTTCCTGTCTCCAGGCCGTGCTATTTGATACGCTGTTGGCTACTCCGTTACCACCGTTCGCGTTTCCATTCGGCACTGTACCCTACAAAGAGTAGCAAAGTTTAATACCGAGCTTTAAGGATGGACATTTTTAAATTACGTCGCCTTCGTGAATTACTTACATTGACAATTGTGTCCGGATTCGTTTCTCTCAGGTAACTTGGGTTTTCAAATGCAACGCCACCTTGAGCTTTGAGCCTTAGGTTCTGAAATGTGAGTCATATTAAGATTTATAACATTTTATATCTTTAAAGTGGGTAGGTATTTGTTTACTATTTTATTTAGGGCAAACACAGAGACGTCAGCGTCAAGTCCCATTTTACACCTTATATCTTTGTTATAGTATAATATTATGTCTTCATTCATTTATGAAATGTACTCAATATTCTATTTTAAAGATTTGTAAAAGTGTACCTTTCTATGCCTATAGTATAATCCGGCAGCAAGTAGAATGGCTGCTACAAGAATACAAGCCACAGCCACGCCAACAGCGGAAGCGGTACCCGAACCACTGACGGGAGCGGCTGCAGCTCCAGTTTCTTGGCCGGCCGTGGTGAACATGATGGATTGGCTCAGGGATGAGGTTCCTATGATTATATTTATTATTCTCACCGTCAAGAACAATTGTCAAAAGATTAGAAATAAACAGTGAAACCATTTAAACGGGTTAAAATTACAAATATACCAATTTACATGGTTACTTAGTTATAATTAATAACAACAAATTTAATTATATATGTCGCGATCGATACCGTCAAAAGTGGTTTTATTTATGCCTATTACTAGAGGGATAACGATCTGAAGGGACAAACTCTCAGTATTTTTAAGAGAAATGTTACTAATAACCATTATTGAACAACATTTTTTGTTGTAGTTTACGCGACTAGTACACATTGAACAACATTTTAACGGTTTAAAACGCGATATATATTAGTTAAAAAAATCAAATATGTTGAACTAATATATATCGTGTTTAAACCGTTAAAGTGTGTTATTTAAATTGCATTGCATCGTACTCACCAATATCGTTAGCCGCTTTGACGACACACTCGTATTTGACGTCGTCCTGCAGCCCGGTCAGCACGACACTCGTCTCGCTAGTGTCCAACTTCTCCGGCACCTTAGCTCCATAAGCGCGCCAGAACACCCGGTACAGGTAGACCGTCTGAGGATTCTTTACGGGCGCGTCCCAACTGTGATAACATCAAATTATTCGCATCGTTTTACGCAGTTTCCAACTTTTTTATTCTTACATCTTAAATTAACTAAAGAATAAGGCCGATGCGTTTCACATTTTAAGTTTAACTTGTTAATATATTCAATAGACTAGCTGTGTCAGCGACTGCGTCCGCGTAAAACAGTCATTCCGGGCATTCAAATTTGTTTTTGGATAACTTTTCTTCTTTATAACTGTAACCTGTTAGCCATGGCTTCGATCGCGTCCCGTCGTTCTTGCAATTTAATCTTCGAAGATAGACACAAGTGTCGCGGACTTTTTTTTTAGATTATTTAAAGAGAAATCATTCTTTCATATATATTTTAAGGTGTCTTAAACCGTTTTCGCAGCGTACGCATTGGAAACTTACAGAGAGGAATAATTTCCTTCCCTCCTATTACTCACATAGATGCTCTAACCAACTCAAAAATGTTTTTTCAATTCTAACCAGTACTTCCCGAGATGAGCGCGTTCAAACAAATAAACAAACTCTTCAGCTACAGTGAAATATAAAAACAGTATAATGAAATTTCATTGCTTCCTTTGAAAGTTTAATCTGGTAATTAGGAAACCATATTGAGGGTAGAATGATTTTTTAATGAGACGAAGCTTGCGGTTTGAGCGGAGCGTAGTTAAGAAAATGCAATATTTTATCCAATGAAAATATGCCTATAAATGACTAACCTTAATAATACAGCGTGAGGTGTTGGAGCGACGTGAGCCTTCAAATTCCTTGGTGGTCCAGGCAACTTCGCACCAGAATCTCTGAAGCAGGCCAGCGCTCGTCTGGCATGCTGTAAGGCGCATGTCCGCGTCACTGGTCCGCCACGACACAACTCTAGACAATTACGCGGTACCCCCCATGATGCACAGCAACTGCGGTGATCTAAGGTGAAGAGTGAAGAGGTGAAGAGATAAGTTGAAAACGGATCATTTGGTTTTACAACAATTGTATTTTTACCATTAATTTTTTACCATTAAATACTGTTTGTAGTTTACGCGACTAGTACACATTTAAATAAAACACTGTAACGTTTTAAAACACGATATATACGATATATCTTTTTAGAAATTATTTTAACTACGGCCCAAAGTTTCGGATGCTTTGCAGCACCGTTGCTTGTTTTGGTCATGGGGAGACTAAGGATGGAGGTAAAAACTGCTACGCTAGCGCCATTTGATCCAAACCGCTCAATATAAACTACGACGGTTTTAAACCGTTAAAGTGTTTTATTAAAAAAAAACATCACTTTTTTATTGGGAAAATCGGTATTCGTTAACTTTGACAATTTCACAGAAAGCACCATAACCGGTTGGTGGTATGTTTAGTAGTCTTGGACTAGACTCTTAGACTCTCGTCTCTGGTAGGGTTGGTACTGCCAGCGTCAACCCAGAGGGTGTACTACGATTTACCACATTCTCCACATCACGACTGACCAACATGCGTGTGCATATTGCATTCACCCCATCAATTTGGGTCAAAAAAGGTAACTTTGACAATGTCATTTTTCATTAATATTGAGCTATTACTCCCACTACTGGGTGACATCCTCTTAAGGATTGTAAGAGCTTAAAGTTACCACGCTGATCCAGTTAGTGAGCTTTAATGATTACCAATAAATGAGTTATGATAACCGGGATCGACGGCTTAACGCACTAGCCAACCTAAACCGCTAGGCCAGTACTAAAAAATTTCTGAGTTTATTATAGTAAATATTTAAATAACACTACCCCACCCAGGACTCGAATGCGGGATCTAGTGAACTGTAATCGAATGCCCTTATCACGAGATGAACGAGTTGTTTTAATATATACTTTATGTTTGCTGTCGCCTATTGAAAAACGTGTCCGAGAATCGAGGACTTACGCAGCCATTTCCTCTTCGCCACAAAGATGAAATATCAATAAGACTTGTGGCGAATGCGACACTTGTTCAAATACAAATTCACTTTAGCCGAGGTTCGCGTTTCGTAACGTTATTGGACGTTCGAAGACGTGAAAGTCACGTCCTCCCAACAAACGATGAGAGCTGATCACCCATTTTAACGTAAAACGCTCAAAACGAATTCAGGAAGCTATAAAAATGCAAATTCTTTCATGAAAAGTCACACTTTTCATATCACCCAAATAAAATGTTGAAGTAATTGTTAAATTTGATCATTCTATTCTCACAATAAACCGTTCATAATACAATCTATGGTCGACGCATTAAAAGACTCGTTGACGTAATGGTAGCAATGTATGTCTAATAACATTTGACAAATTGTCTGGAACATGTTGTGGACTTCGTCTGGAAATCTAGCTATTAAATGGGTGGAAGTGCCACTTAATGTAAAAGTAAGTATGTATTAAATTGTATATTCGTAAATTACGAGTGAAGTACATACGAGGCCGCTAGAGGCAGAGAAGCCTAACTGCAATTTTATGACTGGACTTATTTATATTTTCATAGTCTATAAATGTTAATCTACAAGAGCACAGACCGAAAATTGTTAACATAATTCTAACACAAATAATAGTACAAATTTATTTTCGCCTAATTTCTTGTGCATTTTTATTTTCCACCTTATTGCAAATCATGTTTTTTTGCCTCTGCCTCATCTTTATAAGGATTTTATATAATATGAGGCTGATATTATATAAAATCCTTATAAAGATTCAAACTACTGAAAATGTTGCTCACTTTATTTTAACAACGTAACATACCCATAGGTATCTGCGAAAACCTCACCTGAACCGTCTGCAGCGCACTTCATCAGCTTCTCGAAGTCGTTCATGCATTCGGGCCGATCCATTATATTGTCCATGTCGAGGTGGAAACTACACGCGTCTATGCAGGTCGACGAGACGTTCATCTACACAAAAAAAATCAAATTCAAAACGCCTTTTGGGGTAAATTGGCCAAAAAAGTTAAAAAGTAAAGTAATATCTAAGGAACTTGTAAACGAAATTAAGAAGCTTTATTGATTTTAGTCCGTTAACATCCTTGTACTAAATTAATAAAGATCAACCTTGCATACGTATAAATAAAACATTTTAACGGTTCAAAACGCGATATATATATATGTTACTTAGAAAGAAAAAGAAAGAAAAATTTTATTTACTACTAGGGCACATAGAAACACATGTTACACTTATTACTAAACATAAAAAAAAAACAATACATAATTTTGTCTTAACAGTATAACTTAATATAACAAGATAGGATAATGTTGTGTGCTGCTAGTAGAATAGGATCTTCCTCAGTTTATATCAGGCCTTTTGTTGACCTGAAACTGATTTTCAGTAAGTCCTTAGAGTGTGGACAGCGGTGCCACACTCAAGTTAAAATAAACAAAAAAATAAAGTTGTTGTTGTACAAATAAAAACACAGTAAAATTTACAAAAAAAAGTAAGACAAGCTGCATAAATAGAAAAAATAATTGTTCCATTCCATCTACATAATATGGTTCAGGGTTCAATATTATAGGTTTCCACTGACAGCGCCATCAACGCCGGTTTTTTGTAACGATAGCAAATATTCTTTGTACCGTCTCTTAAAGGTGGTAAGTGCTATTTTAGTCCTTAACGGGGGTGGTATATTGTTCCAACAGTTGGTGGCACTATAAGTGAAAGCCCCGCGGAAAGCAGCCGTTCCGTGGGCGGGAACGCTTAACATATACAATGACGCCCGGGTAAAGTGTGTAGTATTATAGTCACTAGCCCAATGGAGCGTTTGATATAAATAGGTAGGGATCTTATATTTAATTACACCAAAAAGGAGGGAAGCAAAATGCAATTGTCTACACAAATTCATTTTAAGGATATTATTATTATTTAAATATGGAGTAACATGAGTACGTGGTGGTATGTGAAAACAATAACGTGCACAGGCATTCTGTACCCGCTGTATTAACTTTTTTCATGTTGAGAGTAGGCGAGGTCCGTACACTGAGTCAGCATAATTAAATTTGGATAAGACCAGGGACTCGCAGATATTAACACGTAAGTTGACATTCAAAGCGTTTCTAATTTTATACAGCACTTTTAGACGGTAAAAACAATTCCTTACTGTATCAGATATATATTTTTCAAAACGTAGGTGCTCATCAATAGTAATCCCCAAATAACGTGCAGTTTTAACCCTTTCGATAGTCTTTCCTTTGACTTCTATATTGATGTCATTAGCAGCTATATCTGTTATCTGCTTTTTAGTACCGAGTATAATAAATTTCGTTTTATCTGGATTAAGAACTAAACAGTTAGATTCTGCCCAGGCCGTCACTCGCTTTAAGTCATTATTAGTCTTATCAATAGCAGATCTTGCTTCATTTGGCTTAAAAGAGCTTTAAACAGCTGTATGTCATCTGCATACATGTGGAATTTACAATTGTGGATATGCTTCTGTATATCCGCTGTATAGATGTTGAATAGAGTTGGTCCTAGAATAGAGCCTTGAGGTACGCCCCTCAGCACACGTTTTTGTTGTGATCGAAGAACAGCACCATTGTCTTTTTTTATCTCAACCCTCTGACTACGGTTTCTTAAATAAGTATCGAACCATTTTATTGTGTTTTGGCTAAATCCATAATGACGTAGCTTGGCAATCAAAATATCCAAATTTAAACAATCAAAAGCTCTAGAAAAGTCTAAAAGAACCATTATTGTTCCATTGCCTTAAACTTAAACTTATTTGGAAATTATTTTAACTACGGCCCGACGTTTTGGATGTAGCGGCCGTGGCTGACTTAGGGAATATATTATTTACTCCGAAAAATTACAAAGAAGGCAAATTATAAAAGCCAAAGTCCAATACAATGCCGACTTTATAAATTTTCAAACACTCTTCAAATAAAGTCTGAAATTCCGACGTCAGTTCAAAGTATTACAACTTTCAACTCTCGAAATAATTTTGAATGGTACGATAACGGTATCAAAGCAAATTGAAGGAGAGAACTCGCAATGAGCGTTTATCTACAATAAAGGATTATTTTAACGAACTGAGAACCTCTGGAAACGATACTTTTTCATTCAAATTATAGGATTTTTTACAACCCTCTGTGTTCTATGTTAATTTTGTTTATTAGGTAGACATATTCTGCAGATAGAAAAAACAATATATATAAATTCTTAAGTAATAAATTACGAATAAATGATTAGTAATGTGTATTCAAATTAATGATTTGTTTAAGACTAAAGGGACTACAAGCTAGATCACCGACTTAGAGATCTCCGGCCGATAACATATTCCCCGAACTGCATATCACACCTTGGGATAGATATTGTGCAGCAGTGCCATATCTGGCATACTTACTTCTAGTTATTAGAGATATTTTATAATTATTTAAATTTCACAAAATATTAATTTCTCAGCCTTTTAATTGTCGTCTTAACTCTCTTATATCAAAATTTGCAATAACAAACATAATATTATCAAAGTTTTAATATTTTTCACATGTTACTTAGAAACACATAGTACTTTATATTTATATTATAAGAAATAAGCTAGACTCACCTCTTGACAGCACTCCGTAACGTTGTGGTGCGGTGCAGTAGATCGTAAACGAACTGAAACTGGTCTCAACGTCTTCCCGAATGCGTTCTCAGCGTGGCAGAAATAGTCGCCCTCGTCGGCCTCCGATATCTTCTTGATAGTTAGTCGCATGGTGTACTTTGTCTGTTCCTGCAAATAGATTGCTCATGAGTGTTGCATATTCTGTAGTATACGCGAGCAGTATACATTTAAATAAAACACTTTTAACGGTTCAAAACGAGATATAACTTATCCCGTCGTGTCGTAGTATATTTTGTTTGCAACGTTTTTAACGGCTTAAAACGGATAACAGAACTTATTCTTCCCGACTGTCACGAGTCGAAGTAGGGTCGATAAAATTATTATTATTATATTTCGTTTAAATTCGAAATTCTTAACGATTTAAGACGAGTTACTTATTCCCCACCACAAGCCAAATGGTAAAATAAAATTCATAAAAAAATGTCAGCTATTATACCTAGTTTAAATAAAATATTTAACGATTTAAAACACTAAATATAATTAGTTAAATTGAATTACAAATTATCATCGATGAGAAAAGGAAACTGTACCTCTCAATATTCAGATATCGGATAGAATAAGCTTTGATTATCTCGAACGTTATTCATAAACACTAATGAAATTTTTTCGCCTTCAAGAGATTTTGAAATAAGCTTTATTAAGTGGAAATTCGAGGCTTGCGAGAAACTAATTATTGTTAGACGTTAATAAGGAAATTAGTGTATCGTAAGACGTAGATTTATTATTTAGATCGTTGACGAGTTTTTATCTTGATAGATATAATACTATCGCGGACATTTTTTTTAGAGAAATTAAAAGAGGAATCTTCCTTTCATACATATTTTTTGGGTATCTTGAACCTTTTTTTGCATCGCACGCAATTGGACGAAGCGTTATGTTTTATACGCTAAAGTCTTCCTCGATAAATGCTCTAACCAGCACTAAAATAATGTTTACACTCGAAGCAGTAGGTCCTAATATGAGCACGTTCAAACAAACAATAAACTCTTCAACTTTATAATATTAGTATAGATATCGTTATTAAAACTGTAAATATTAGATACATATACAGATGAATATTTCTCGATAGCTGGCTCCACTTTTACGTAACCCTAAAATATATTAACGTGTATACTTTACCTCAGGATCAGCCACTAGTTGAATGCTGTAGTTAGGACCGTCAATGACTGGTGTTCTGCCGTTGGGGTCTCTCCAGAAAGCGATGGTGGGCTTCGGCAAAGCCTCCACCCGACACTCAAGGATCACGGAATCTCCAGCAGCTGCCATTGTTATTCCAGATGCTTGAATTGTTGGGACATCTGCATCAAGTATTTTTATTTAAATAAGGTAAATAAAACACTCTAACGGTTTAAAACGCGATATATTAATCAAACTTATTTGAAAATGATTTTTAACTTCGGCCCGCCGTTTCGGATGCTTTCGAGATTAAATAAGTTTAACTAATATATCGTGTTTTAAACCGTTAAAGTGTTTTATTTAAATGTGTACTACTCGCGTTAACTATAGACAGTATTTAAATAAGGCTTGTTATAATGAACATTTTGTACTAGATTTGAATCTATCCTTAATCAAGTTTTAGACTAGTATTAAGTTAGAATTTAATAAGTAAGTAACTTTAAGATCAATTTATGAATTTAAAATAAATAAAAAAACTTTATACTAAAACATTTAACCTTACTACTTCGTAAAAGATAACATAAAACGGACGCATATAACTAACAAGACCTTGATTAAAGTCGGTAATTCAGCTTCGAAACATAATTAAGTATTAACATATCTTGCACAAATGTGACCCACCATAATGAGGAACTAAGCGCGAGAGACGATCTCTTCCAGACAACGCGGTCCAAACAGAAGCTTCTAAAAAAAGGTGACGTCACTTTTTTTTCTACTTACGCGATATGTTGATCTTGCGGGACGCCTGCATTGGTGTGCCGTAACCGTTATCCGCGTAACAAGAGATCTGATCCATATCCCGGGTCACGTTGTGGATCACCGTCACCATATGACGCGTTACCTCCTGCCGCACTAGGCGACCTGGAACACAAGACAACGTTAAAAATGGCAAAGGGGCCTTTAACTTAATTTAATGAAGGCTTGGTAATTGACCTACTAGTTCTACACCTAGAGCTTTGTGTATTTTTGATTTTATTTCAATTCGAATTATTTTTATAATAGTTTTTTTATGATCAGGGAAAACAGAAAAGCATGGGTGTAAAGGGAGATGTGCCGTCAACCTATTACGGTTTTAAATATTCAGCCAAGGTTACCATCTGTGGTAACCTTGGCCGAATTGGTTTCAGTGTGCTGAAACCAATACGGGCACAGGTCGACATTCCTACCTACACATATAATATTAAGATTGCTAGATGTTGGATCCGCTAAGGATAGAACCCCCTGCCGGTTGATTATTAGCAATACATTGCTACTATAATAGTAACAAGCCTGTCATAAGTGTAGCGATAATTTTAAACTGGGGATACAGTACAACCCAATTTTTTTTCTTATTTTATAATATTCGTTTTTGTAAAATAGATGGCTGAAGTTTGAAAACGATCCAACTCGACGAACGTCGAATTTGATTTTGGATTAATTTAAGAACGACTGTTAAATTATATTAAATCCATTGCAAAAGACTCTTTAATAATTAGAATTTATCTTAAAGTTATTACAGACGCTTTAATTACAATCGCGTTGTAACAATAAAAAGCTCTCAGCGGCTCTTACATTTCTTAATAATACAATTTTGTGTTTCAAATGTTTGGATCAGTGGCGTAGCTATAGTAGGGCCCGACGGTGCAGTGCACCAGGGCTCTGGAACTTAGGGACCCTCTAGCCTAATCTTAAAGTTATAAGCGTAGAAGAAAAGGGTTTTTTAATGTTTTTTCGTTCGTTCGTTCGATACTTTCTTGAGCCTTAGGATTAGGTAGGGCCCCGGCCCTTGTCCACCTAGCTACGCTACTGGTTTGGATATTCATTTTTATTTTACATCACGTCTCTAAAGAAATATTTAAGGATTCAAAGAACCGTTACTAGCACGGCAGCATGTTTAATTACAACTTCTTCATTCAGGTTCGCATTCAGCGGTTACAAGTTTTTACATCCGGAAGTCCATTTAAAAACCGACGAGGAACGTTCGGTAAACTGCGTTTTTCTCGTGAAAGCAAATACTTTATATGGCGTAGGACTTCATTCAGCTAACAGTTTGAGTCTTATTAAGACTTCTTTAGTAAATAAGCTTATTCTTTATACACACTTTCACTAAAATGTTTGTTAGACCATTTACAAAAATATTAAATAACACGTTTGCGCATACACTTTAGTTTATGCTTAGATTTTGGGATAAAAAGGCACTTAAAAATATGTATACGAATGTTTGATAGAGGTCTAAAAGTAACGAAATGAAAACGTATCCGTATGTATTCGTTACAATTAACACTCGTTATTTTCGCATCGTCACACTTACATTACTCGTTACTTCCCATGCTATGATTGTATGTTTTCTTGAGTCGTACACACAACTCGAATCATGGTCATATTACTACAGTTTTACTCGACAAGAAATACTATTTAGTTATAATGTCGTGAATGAAATAAACTTACCAGATATATACAACGATATAGTTGGCGTCGGAGTTCCCATGGCGATGCACAGTATGGTCATACTGGCCCCCTCCACTACTAGGTTCACTGGATTGATAGTTGGAGGCTAGAAGGGAAATGGCACGATTATTTTTGACGTAATTTTGTGCTATAATAACAAATTACTTTATCACAGACGATGTCACAATATTCCGTAAGCCGACAGAGGGCTAAAATGATAATTATAGTCATAAATCGTCCTGCGTTTCGTAGTACATTAATAATTACATTAAGTTAATATCTTAAAACCGCTGACACGCGCCGGTGAGCAATTATTTCATTAAAACTCGAGCTCATTACTACAACTTTACCGTGCCTGTAATTAATGATCGTTATAAAATTATTAATACCCTCAAAACCGGACCTCGGAGGGCTCGTTTAGGTCTTTGGGTGAATCGTAAGGCTTTATACAATAGTCGTGTCTACTCTCGTCAGACTTATTGAGAGTCAGTTAATACAATATTAAGTAATGTCTGTAGTTTATACACTCTTAAGGGGTTAAAACACAAGATATATCTATCTATACTAACGCGCTAATCTCAGGAACTACTGGTTCAAATTGAAAAATACTTTTTGTGTCTCCTCCTTCTCCTCGTTCTCTTCCTCGATAAATGCTCTAGTGAGAGCATTTATCGAGGAAGGCTATATATAGGCTATTAAAACATCGCTATGTCTAATAGAAACTAAGGTACAGCGGAAAATGTGAACAAAATGGGGGAAATTTTTCATCTCTGTGGGTTCCCGATGCGTACGCTGCGCAAACGGTTCAAGAAACCAAAACAATGATGATCTAAAAAAAACACTATATATGTCTATCTTTTAAGATTAACTTGCAAGAACGACCCGAACAACGGGATACGAATGTCGTGGGTAACAGCTGTACTGAGGAGGAAGTTCGCAAAAACAAATTTTGACGCCGAAAATAACTATTGTATGCGAACGAAGTCGCTGGCACAGCCAGTATCTAATAATATGTTAACGTATTTTTAGGTACTAACGTGTAACTTACTCTAACTACGGCTTGTCGTTTAGGATGCTTAAAGGTGTTTTATTTTAACTCAAAATAATATTAAGATTTCAGTTGTATCTTGTATATACTGTGTGTGGTACATAAAAAAAAAACTATTTGGATTCTTACTTTTAATATCCTAAGTATCCATTCTGTTAGATATATAAAAGTAAAAAAATAACTGAATATTTCGTGTGTTAGTATGAAATACTATTTACGATTCTTAATACAGAGCCATAATAATAATTTATTATTTTTTTAACTAATAAAAACAATATTTTTTTTTTCAATGTATGTTCGATTTTTAAATTATATAGTGCCTTCATATGCAATAACATGTAAAAATTAATAAAGTTTTGAAACGTTATAACTTTGTAATTACATCTTCAATGATTTCTTAAGCTGCAAAGCATAAGACGTTGAACCTTAATACGCAAGTGTTAAGGTTGAAATTACATTGCGCGATAGGTGCATGTATCAATAAGTTGAAAAAATTTGACGATGCCGGTTCAAGTTCCGCCCGAGTCGAAATTTTTAAAAATTTATTTTCGACTTTTAAATTAAGACGTAAAATTTAAAAAAAAACTAAATTCTAGCTATATGAAACTTGGCAATAACTCAATTACAATTTTAAAACCATAAAAATTATTGCTATACATTTACTATAAGTATTATTATCATCTCGACTATAGGTTACCTCGACAAAAGCAGGGTAAGCCGGGTCTGTCCAGGCTAGCAGCGTCTCCGAAGGCAAGGAGTCTCCAGCTGCAGCATGTGCTTTCACCCAAACCACGTATTGCGTGTTCGGGTTCAATTTCTCCAGAGTGTGACCAGGGACTGTCGTGGCTATCTTCGTAACATTGGCAGTGCCAATTTGGCTCGGCGACTTATAGAACAAACTGGAAGAAAACCTTTTCTTTTAGAACCACTACTAGGAGGATACGCTGTTGATGTCGGTTCAAGTTGCGCCCGAGTCGTATTTTTTTTTTGATTTAAATAGATTTTTTATTTATATATTACCATCATATTAACACGTGACAGATATTTAAATTTTCAACTTATAGTTAAATAAAATTTATTTTCGTTGAATTCCGCCGATGTCATCAATTCTTTCAATCAGAAATATATCTTTAATTAATATAAACTATTGGGCCACAACAATAATAACAGTAATTTGTCAAAATTTAATCAGTAAAAACCGGTTTTATACAAATTTAAAGCAAAAATCGCGCAGTTGGTAGCACGAACGTCAGCGTAAGTTTAGTAATTCAATTAGTGTTAATGTAATTACAGGTTCGTGATGCATAATGCCTGGAGGGTTTGAGGGTTAATACTCTATATTCAATAACGATGACCTCGGACATACAAGTTCGGAAATTTATTTTAGATCGACCTGGGAGGGACTCGAACCGACGACCACAGCGTGATCTGTGACTACTAATAAGGAATTCTTTTCAATACATTTTATACAGACATATCGCACAATAACGGTTGCAAGTTCGAGTCCTACCCGCGTCAGAAATCTAAAATATTTCTGAGACGTATATGTATACAATCGTATATGCAATGTGTGATCATTAAAAAGGGTTGGTAGACGTATATTTGTGTATTGTTCTAGTTATTACTGTAATCATTAAAAAGAATTGGTGAGACACATGAGATTCGAACTTAGGACTACTCGTGCTTATCTAGACAAGGCGTACGGCAGAGTTATGCAAATAGTATGTTTAATGACAGAGGAGGACAGACGAACATGAGCTTTTAAATGGAAGAATGGAGGAACTTAAACACTCCACTATACATATAACATCAAAACAATGTGTATGTTTGGCTTTGTATGTTTGCCCACTTATACATTCAAGAGAAATAAAATGATTTGACTTACGTGTAGGTGATCTTTTCGTCTGGTTGCGAAAAGAGAGGCGGTTGCCAACTGAGGCTAAGCCAGGTTGCTGAATGCGATGCCACGGACAGTGAGTGCGGGGGTGATGGAATACCGGAGACTTCCATGTTATCTATATATGAAGACATATAGAATATACGATTTATGAAGTGAAGAAGTATTTCAATATCCCCCCGCCAAGAGACGTAAAGAAGTGATACTCCGTTTCTCTTCTTTCTCTCCGTGTCCGATTCGAATCGAGGACTTCTCGTACTAAACAAATTGCTAGGTACTGTATTACCATTGAGCTGAGAAGATGGAGCTATAGAGGTATGGCTTACATTCACATGTGGGTGTCTTTCCCGAATCATTGCAGACACATTTCTGTGTCTATTTCAATAATATACTATTTTTCCTTGAAAGTAAGAAATGAAATCTAAGTCCATTCTAATTTAAAGGATTGGTATCTAAGGCAATTGTTGTTTCCTTCTCCGAGCCATCGAAGCGAGATCTTCAGTTAAAAGTACAATATGTATATTTTAAAAATTAATGTCATTAGCCCAAATAAAATTTTCCACAGCTGGGCCTCTTTAAAACATTGCCGTGGGCCCATTCTATCATGTTTTTGTACCTGTTAACCACCACACCACACAGTAAGAACTGTCAATTTTCGTTGCTCCAGGGGGTCGAGATCCAGGCCGAACAGAAGTGGAGTACATTAATTGATAAAATATTACCTTGGGTCATGTTGAGTAGGATCATACTGGATGGCAGAGAAGTACCATGTTCGTTAGCAGCTACCACGAACATGTGGTACGTCTGGTTCGCCTCCACGAATCCCTCCAAGCCGACCTTCGTGTCCGTCACATTCAGTTTCTGTTAAATTAAGTATTTTTGTAGGTCTTACCAGTAAATAAAATCATTAATGGTTTAAAACGCTAAATAATAGTTAATTTATTTTGTATCCTTGCGATCACGACTAGCAGCATCCGTAATGTCGGGTCATAGTTATATATCAAGAAACATATTTTGTGTTTAAATAAAACACTTTAACGATTTAAAACGCGATGTATATTAGTTAAACTTATTCGAAAATTGTTTAACTACGAATGTCCGAAGCAAGCGAAATGTCAGGCCGCGCGTAAGTTACAGACGACAATATTTACATTTTGTATTTTAAAGTATCGATTGATTTAATCATTTACCTTTCGGAACACCCACAAAGAATTGCGTTACGTTACAATTATAAGGGTGGAGATAACGTTACAATTTCTATGATTTTACATAAAGAAAGTTATGTCGAAATGTAGAAACAAAATATATGAAAAATGACATAAATGATTCAACTCGCCTCAAAACTAGGCACCGTAGAATTATTCAAAGCATGTCGAGAGAAATTCATGTAGATACAATAGTCGGCGAAACAATGGCCAGACGAATGTTACGAAAATGTAAAAAATTCCCAATTCACTCGAAAAATCCAGCTTATATTTCCATTGTGGAGACTCATTGTCCGTCCAGATTGAATCTTCTGATCTTTGTCGCGAGTGGTTCGCAATAAAGGCACTAACGTCTGGATGTTACGCTGTATTGCTCTTGGATATTGAAACTTCTGTGCAAATCAATATCGCCTTCAATATACTCTGTGTCGTGCTTAATTTTATTTTGCGGGTTGGTAGAAATTTGTTAGCTTATTCTTAAAAAAACGCTTTAATGCGAAAGATAAAGGTACAATTGTTTATATACATTACAAACGTTCCGTGCTGTCGCTTTAACCAATTGAGCTATAGAGTCCTGCCCGAGTCGTATTTTTTTTTACAATTTATTATAGGTTTTTAATTTATATAGTGCTATCATGTGCATGTGAATAATACAGTTTTTAGAGGTATTTAAAAATTTCTTTATAAAAAGAATCCCCCGTGACAAACGCTTTCAGGAACTTTTAGACTAAACAACATTCTTTTAAAATGTCTCTATCTGTTTCGGAGTTCAAGAGATTTTATATCTAAATACTTTCTGTAGTTTACGCACACGTACACATTGAAATGGCCGTGACGCTGCTGCAAAGCATCCGAAACGTCGGGCCGTAGTTAAAATAAAATAATTTTCAAATAAGTTTAATTTAGATCGCGTTTAAAAGATTTTATTATTACAATACTAAATAATACTGCAACATGACTTACATTATCAAATTGTAGCGTGTTGTAATAATACGGTTGCGAGTTATTGACGACTTTTTGCCAGTGCACGACGTAGTAAGTAGCATTTGCGCCATCTTGAGGAGCAGACCAGTCCAGGAACAGTTTCTCTTTATTTAACACTGCGTGGACTTCACGAGGTGGACCAGGGAGTAGACCCGTTCCTATAGATTATAAAGATTATATTAGATACATATTCTTTCAGACACAGGACAGACAAAAATGAGGATCACTCGACTGTGTTTGGCCTAAAATCGATCTTTAGTTGAGGAAAGTTGTCATATGTACATTGCTACCAGTGATCTGACGAGCTATTACAAAATAATTATGATTAACTTCCTAGTTTCATATAAAACATTGGTTTGAATTATTCACCTTCCTCGAAGCACTGTACAATATTGCCAATATATGAAACGCAGGAGTTGACGCTTCCTCGGTATGCGCCTGCGCAGACACCACGGCAAGATGGCGGCACGCCGCGCCGCGCACAGCAGGCGTCGTGATTACGGCCTACGTTAAGAGATATAATTACTACAAAGACATATTATTTACAGAGACATTCCGAGACAATTAGGTTTGATCGAAGATTTAATCTTAAAATTTAATAATAATGAGTACGGAGTTCTCATACTTAAAGAGGTTGATGTTTTTCAATTAACTGATGAATTTATATAAAATAACTAATATATTTAAATAATCACATATGCACTGGGTAAATTTAATAACATTAATAATATTATCTAGTAAAATCTTTAGAAACAGATCAGAAATGTTTCTTATTTAAGTGTCAACTAATAACTATAACACACCTCCAGCTCCACATCGTAAAAGTTTATGGAACTCCTGCGCACAAAGCGGAGCCAACGTCCTCAGGTCAGACATTTTGGCGTCATACGAACAGAGGGACATGCAAACGCCAGCTAATTGCACTCTTTCGCAGCATGCCGTCACATTGTAAGCATTTGCTACTTCTTCTTCTTCTTCCACAGCCTGTTCAAGTATACAATTAAATATATTAGAGCCATATGACGTCATCAAGGATATGAAGTAGAAGTGTACATTATAAATAAATAAAAAAAACGTCTCGGGCAGGACTTGAACCGGCATCCACTGTTCCGTGCTGTTGTTCTAACCAATGGAGCTACCAAGTCCTACCCGTCGTCGTTGAATTTTTTCAACTTATTGATACATACTCCTTTCGTGCAATCTAATTTCAACCTTAAAATAATTCAATTACTTAGAGAAACAGCACTAAAGCTGTAAAACCCGGTAGAAGTCCGCCCCGAGTCGTAATTTTTTTCAATTTGTTAAATCAATAGAAGCTCGTGCGCACCTCATTTCGACTTTGGCAAGCCCACAACTAGTTTAAGAGGAGATTGAATAGTCGAACTGTCTATGTTTCAAATAATTCCGTGTTGTGTCGTTTAATAATTAGAAAGTAGGATTATGTAGTTTTCCGTGATTTAATTTAGAAATCAAATCAGCTAATATTTATTACGTTTCAAAATATTCCTACTCTTAATATTATCTTGTTTTCAGTTGATAAAAAACTTACCATAGCTTAATCGAACCCACGAAAGTTTTTGATGAAATTACCACTTTGAGAGAAAATCGAGTTCAACGTGCATACAAATTCTTAACAAAACAATTGGTTTTACTAAAATATATTCTCTTTTTTATTAGACATATTGTTAAATACTGTCTATAGTAGACATATTGTTGTTAACAGGCATTGTATTTGACAGTCTTAATCACCAACTAGAGTTATTTGTTTAAATTAATGAATACTTAAATGTAAACCTATAAACAAAGTGTTTTATTGCATTGTTAACATTCTACAATCATGGGAAACTAAAGATTTTTTTCTGTATACACGAGTACATGTATGTACAAATGAATATAGCTTACCACACTCTGCGTCCTGAAAATTAGTCGCGGCGAAGCTTCTCCCAAACCATGTTCGTTAACTGCCTCCACGAAAATCTCGTAATCAGTATTTGATTCCAAATCTTCTAAGATGTAAGGCGATTGAACCTTAAACATAAATGAAAATAATTGATTGTATCTTCAATTGAAAAGACGGTTTATGTATGAATGTTATATATTAGCGTATAAAACACTATGGAATGGGTGGTATTGATTTCGAAATTCCGTTCGTGTTACGAAGCATCGATAGGAGTGAAGTTTTCGTCGGTTTCAATCTGTGGGTTTCCGGATATCCGAAAGCAAATTATTATTTTATTATTGTTATTTCACTTGTCATCAATTCAAACCCCATTCCTGTCGGTGCTCCCTTATCTTAAAAAAATTGTCTAATATGTACAAACAAATTGTTAGCTGAAAAAAATATGAGATAGCAACTTTATGCAATCACCACATAACAAACACAGGCGAAGGAGGCCACGCTTGGGTTAATTTGAAGGTAGGTGAAATACACGAACCACATAACTTCTAAACAAAATGCGCTTCTGACTTATTTTAGACAAGGATCGAAATCCACAGACTAAAAACCGAAACTCAATTACACGTCACATGTTTTTATCCGTGGACGGTGCTTTACAGCCAAAAAAATTACGTTCACGTTTTCCACGATTCTTAGTCGAAAATATTACTGACTAACTAACGAGTTATTTTTTAATAATCTATACTGTAATATATTTATTTATATTTTGTAATTTTTTAATATCCTTACTGCATCAATAGTCCTGTAGAACTCCTCCAGTTGCAGGGCTTTGTAATGTAGATTGTAGTACTGTACGGTGTCTGCTAAGGCCGCAGGCGGTGCCCAATGAACTACAGCGTAGTCAGTGTCGATATTGGTGAGGTGGAGTCTAGTGGGAGGGCCTGGGAGGACACCGTAGCCTTGGAGAAGACAGTTCGTGTAGCCAGACATAAAACGAAGACATCTGAAAGAATTTAAAGTTATAGACACGGATTATTTCGGCTCACGTCTGAATTGTAGGTATGAAAGGAATTAAAAATTCGAACGTACACTTAGTCATACACACAAATATATATTCGTACACGCACATATATGTCTGACATATTACATTGTCTGTAGTTTACAGAGGTAGTACAAAATTACAAATTATACTACGGCGCGACGTTTCAGATGCTTTGCTGCAACCGTGACTAGGGGGCTTAGTTATAAAATATTATTGATAACGTACCCAATATATATCGCGATTTAAACCGTTAAGTGTTTAATTTTGTCTGATATTAGTCAAATTAGAAGTAACACTCAACACAATTGATCAAAAGGCCCAGCCCGACCGACCAAACTGTTTTCCAAGGATTCGAACCTCGGAATTCTCGTGTCAAACAAAATGATAAGAAAAACGTTTTAATGTGGAAGAAAAACGGGGAAAAGCAACCATCTCTGTGGGTTTCCCATGTGTACGCTGCGAAAACGGTTCAAGATACCCAAAAAGTATGTAGAAAATATTTTTTTAATGATAAAAAAAATTATATAGTTTGATGGATTTTTTTCCATTAGAATAAAACTTAAACGATAAACGATAGACATATCATAAGTCGCTGACACAGCCAGTAAAATATATTACTTGAAATGATTAAAGTCCAAGTTGGTGATGTTTCCGCTGCACAGCGGCAAACAAGACTCCGGCAAGCCTCGAGATCGACAGCAAGGGGTGTGATCCATGCCGTTGGCGAGGCAGCCGAACGTGACGCCAGCCCACGGGGCGCAGATCATCAGGTCCGTCACCTGTAACTGGTGATTAGAATGGCTCTGCTGGTGATGAGTGCGTTAGTTACAGATGAAGTGAGGTGCAAAACATTTAGGTGGTGTTAACACAAAACATACACAGAGTGCGTCGAAGGACACCATAAATTTGGAAGCCTAAAGTCTAAAATGCTAAAGTTATTTAAATGATTAAAAAAAATGCTGTATATAATTTGAAGCCGTCAAAAGACGGTCAAAATGCCACTCAATTTAAACATACAAGAGATGCCCACCTGTCCAGCCCAGCCGTTTTATAGTAACATGAGAATTAATATTTAAAAACAATATTCATTCGTGTTTAACCGAAACGAAACGAATGTGAAATTCATGAGTCATTTTTTGTTTACAGCGCGGATTAAAACGGGAGAAATTAAAGGGATAAATAAAATATTTCTACAGGCCTTTTCACTTTAAATAAATGTGGTTAAGTGCGAGTCGATATTACGGACGACGTTTCTTTACACTTAATGAAAAAATATCATGTTGTAACTATTTTTTAGTTTTTTAATGTTGCCATTATTGATATAAATTATAGACTATAGAGCAAAGATGGGAAAAATATCTTGTTGAGTCAGGTATAATATGATCTGTGGAGGTTTGGATCTGACAGATGTCAATTGTGTTTTACTTTTTAGTACATATTATAAATTATAGAGGTTACATGAATATATTGTATGTCTCACTTACTACTAATGCTAACAGTAATAGCAGCAACAGAAATACATAAAATGAGGCCGCTAAGGCAGAGTAGCCTAACTGCAATTTTACGACTTGAGTTATTTATATTTTTATAGTCTAAAAATGTTAATCTATAAGAGCACCGAGACCGACTATTGCTAGCATGACTCTAAAACAAATAATAGTACAAATTCATTTTAGCTTAAGTTAATTGCGCATTTTTATTTTCCTCCTTATTGAAAATCATGTTTTCTGTTATTAGGCCACACTTGCTATAGCAGCTTCTATTGTGAGAGTTTCCTCTAACTATCGTTCTTGAGATACACTCTTGTGATAAACAGACGGACCTAATAATAGCTAGTATTAAGGTTTAATTTTTACGCTTTGCGGAACCCTATTAGAGAAAAAGTCGCGCGTTTCCGTCATGAATCATAATAATACGAACACGTGTTTTCAATTATGATAAACGTCTCATTCTTTTTGTTTCAAACATAACATTAATTGATACGACTATAAAATTCTCAACTATGATAATAAAGAAGGGAAAAATATAGTACGCCTGTTATAGATTATTATTGATTTTAATGCGTAATTTTTAACGACTTAACAATTTAAATATAGCCCGCACGCGAAGAGTACATATTAAAAAAAAACACTTTTAACGTTTTAAAACGTGAAATATTTGAAAACTTTATTATTTTTCACATGAAGGCAATAATATAAAAATTGAAAATAAATTGAAAAAATTTCCGACTCGGGCATAACTTGAATCGAGCAACAGCCAAATTTATTCAATTTATTTTCAATTTTTTAATTATAACATCAAATATATAGTAAACTTATGTACAAGTGAATGTCCCCCGTGACCACCGCTGTTGGAAAGCATAAGAAACGTCGGGTCGTTAAGGTAAATGGTAATTATTCAATTTCGAACATTAAACCGTTAAAAGTGTTATATTTACATTTACATACGTTTTAACGTGGGTAATTGAACGGGGAGTTTGAAAAATACCCACTCTTTTTATTTCAAGTAGATTAGTACTTCTTTTCTACTTTTTGATTGAATAGTGTCTGTAGTTTATGCAAACACGTTTAGTTGATCACTTTTAACTATTTAAAACGCAAAATATATTACGGTCCTTACGCTACCACGGCTTCTGTGAAAGATCTATAACTTCGGGTCCTACTTGAAAAACTACGTTTTGCGTTTCAAACCGTTAACATGTAATTCCCATTGAAATGAACATGATTCATGTAACACACACCCACATGACAACTTACACCAATTTCGAAGGTCTTCGTTGGGTCGCAGAGCTTATCGACACACCCATAATGATTAATCCCAGCTGCGAGGCAGCAGCTTCGAACATCTGGAAGCTTTGGAGCCGCCGCTACAGCTGTCGACTTCATTTTACCAGGTGTAAGGGTCAGCGACCTTTGAAGAAGACAGATTTATATGAGGATAAAAAGCATATTAGATTTTGTATGTCTTTGTTATTGGTCCAGTGGTTAAAATACTTTACTGCAGATCACCCGCTTCCAATGTCAGTTGTTAAATGGTCCCGCATTAAACGCAAAGTGGTGGGTCTAGTCCCTTAGAAGTGGGGGGGGCACAACCAGTGGGATAACTTACCTAACGCTATAGCTTGGTAAGCTCGATCCGTGAATATTGTACGATGTTACTGTGATTTCGTACATCGTGAACGGCAACAGATCGTTGATGACGAAGAAATTTTTATCCTTCGGCACTTTGAATATCATGAAGGTGCCCGTCTTCATGCTCGTGTTCATGGAAGTCTCCGAGGGGTCCACGAGGTGGGCATCGAACGAACGGAGCGCTGTCACATTCAAAATATACTCTGTGACGCTGTCCGTGTTCTCTGTTGGCGGGCTCCATGTTACGTTTAATTGCTTTTCACTCAGCGGATCCACTTCGACGTCCTCCGGGGGGCTTGGGAGAAGTTCTGTAAAAAAAATGGATTGGAAGACTATTATTTTTCACATTTTAATATGTTTCAAACTGGACCGGTGAGTAAGTAAATACTGCTTGTAGATTACAAAACTAGTGCACATCTAAATAAAATATTTTTTACGGTTTGAAACGCGAACTTAGTTAAACATATTTACAATTTGTTTTAACTACGGCCCGGCGTTGCTTTGCAGTCGTGGTCACGAGGAGACTCGTCGAAATTTCGTGTTTTAAACCGTTAAATTGTTTTATTAAAAAAAAATTGGTGTGCCTGGCTAAAATAAAATATATACGTAATGAATGAATGCAGAGTATTGTAAATATTTCTCCATTTATTAGGATATGTATGCTCTACTGTATGCTCACCAATGCCTTCAACAATACAAGCCAAAGTGCGCTCCATATACGACGCGCAGGAGTAATGCGTCTTTATATTATCTGTGACAGGCGTGAATTCCCCCCTGCACACGTCTTGGCAAATATCTGGTACCTTCTCTTGGATACAACACGGCACGTGGTTTCTTCCATCCGCCATGCACCTAAACACGAAGTTAAATAGTTAAACATTTATTACCTTAACTGCGAACAAAAGACATACGATGGTCGCCCCCTACAAATTTCATGAAAAATTTCACAATTTTCTGTATTTTTACAGTTTTACAAGAATATTAAAAATCTTGAAATGCAATAACATGACCGCTTAAATAGTTGTCATTGTCATAATTCCACCAATCATTGGCAACGTTGTGGTATAGAATTGATCTATATTAACAATTTGTAAAGAGATAGATACATTATCTTGTTATACGATTGAAGACCAAAGGTTTTTTTAGTTACGACTATATCGCCAAATATTTTAAGAGTTTTTCACTTAAGTGAAACAGGCTTGAAAAATTAAAGCACTGTCAGTACGATGGAAAATTCGAGTCCATTCATATTATCATTATCTTCTACAATAAAAAACATACTTGTAGCACGGCCACAGATAACTAAAAAATTTATTTCATACACATCGAAAAAACAATGGCCCGTTTCAAGAGACTTTTTTGAAAGCACCCGAAGCAATGTGAAATTGTAACAAAACTTTTTATGAATTTGTGAAATTGAATTAAAATCGATGTTTTTGTGACATATGAAATGCTATGAACATCACTATACCAAAAAGGTGGTACATGACCTCCAGGTGTACCTTTTCTACCAAGTCGTTTGGAATAAAGTTTTGTTTGGAATTAAAAAACGTTTTAATAACGTCACTTTTATTTATATTATTTTTAAATAATAAAGGGAGAGCGGACTATCTATCAAATTCAAACGAACGAGAATAGTATGAAAGAACTAAATAAGATTTACAAGTTACATAGTTTTTTTTTTAAATTTCGATTGTTTTTTCGTGAATGTACCTAATTAAAAATACCTCTATACCTATATATATTTGTTACATAACTATGTAAACTTACTTTACAATAGCAGGGAAATCCGGCTGGCAGGTTTCTGGATCTTGACCAGTTCCTTCTAGAATGGTCTGGATACTGCAGAAGCCCAGACATGCCTTGGTGACGTTGGCATTGATGCAGCAGTCCGTGTAGTTGTGTGCTAGGGCTAGCGTTGACAGCGTTGGGTTGTTCGCTGAATACGGATCGGTTGTGTTCTGGGCTTCCGGAGGAGTCAGCCCTCTTGATATTACTGCAAAGAATCATTGCAAATTGATTACTCAGTTTAGTTTAAACACACAGACGCCCTGTAGACCGATGGTGGTTCGTGACGAGGACGGAATTTCGATATTTCTTATAGCATTTAATATCCACATTTCCTAAGTCGAACATGTTTAACAAAAGTTACAAATTTATTAGAAAAATGTTGGACCCGACGGGGATTGAACACACGACCTAGATTAGATATTAGATATACATAGCCATTACAGACATGAGCCCGTCAGATACAAAAATGTGTGTGCCCTATGTGGGGATTAGTACACAATTTCACTCTTCACAACTGGATCGGAGTTTTTTTACCCTGCTTGACAGAATTACTACTGGGTAACACATTGGGTTCACCCCTAAATGTTTTGGACTTAGTTCAACGAAGCCACGACTTAGATCAAACAGTGTCGTGACTTAGTAATATATTCACCTGATAGTCTGTGGAAACTCCTGACAGGGGGTTGGGTGTTCAGTTCGCAAGTATAAAGGCCGGCATCCGTCGATTTGACGGACGTAATGACTAAGGCCCAGACATCGCCTCCTTTTCGGATACCAGGGCCCTGGATTGGTTCGTCTGCTGCAAATATCAACCTATTGTATGTTCCGTGCCAATTCTTCTTTCCGTATTCTATTTAATAACTTCTAATTGCTTTATTTTGTAGCTTAGCAAGTAAATTACACTAACACAATAATAAAAGTAATGTTAGTACTATAAAGAAGTCTAGAAGGTTAAAAATGATGAGCTCTTCAAAGTATTGTCACTGAGCACTGAAAATCAGTGGGGGTTATTAAAAATTAGTATTTCAATACAAGCGAGTTCGTCTTTTGTTTATTTATATAATGTAAGTATAGTTATTAAAATAATTTAGTTCTAATTTTGTTTTAGGTGTGCAACTATTAAATAATTGATAATTATTATTTAAAAAAAATAATCACTTACTATCATCATGGAGTACTTTAATTCTATCGTCTCTGGTGACTCGGACAGCACCAGCAGTCAATAATGCGGAATCCCTGGCCCGCCTCCACAGCACCGGTTTGCCCCTTGCTCCCAGCACCACGCAAGTCAGGAGTGCATCTTCCCCACTCCGTACTGCCACCGTGCCCGCTGGCGCCTTCATCCAGGCCTCTTTAGGTTCTTCGTCATCTGAACTGCTAGATGTACTCGCGCTTTCTACTGATTCTTTGGTATCTGTAATAAATTAGTCTATATTAATATGAGGCTGAAGAGTTAGTTAGTTTGTGTAAGATAAAATAAAATATACTTTATTCTCTTTATTTAATTTAAAAATTATTTAGATTCGTCAAAATTTTTTTGGCTTGTCTGTCTGCTCGTCGTGATTCCTTAGAGTGTTCAAAAGAGCAACTTAACAGAGAAGAACATCCATGAAACTCAGTCCGGCTTTTTTCAACATGTCCTATAAACTAATACATTGTGAATTTATTAACTTAGGGAGCAATTCATATTACTGCCAGGCGGTCTTGTCATTGAAGAAATCGTTCAGACAATAATACGCCTTTTGACACAATCTAAATCTTAAAATTTATTTATCGATAAATTTGAAACCTCAACTAATACTAAAATATACATACGAATACAATTCTCCACATTCCCGTAAGCATTCATCTCACGAACTGCTAGTTCGAATTGAATAAAATTTGTGTTAGATATGATATTAATCGAGAAAGGCTACATTTAGACATCTCTGCGACCAATAGAAGTGATAATGCGAAAACTCTTTAAGGGTTATGATTTTGGAATAAATAAATCATAATCTCGATTTTAGATTGAAAATAATATAAAACACCGGCAGGACCCGAATCGGCATCGGCAGGTTTAACCAATTAAACTACCATGTCCGATTTAGTTCCAAAAATAAATTTCTAATTCATATAATGCCATAGAACTTTAAACAAGTATTTTATAAAAATAACAAAACTGTGCGAAACTATATTCTTTTGCAAAAGTTTTTGGTACAACTAATAATGGCCTTAGGTATTATCTGATAATAATATGATAGAATAGAATACTGAAGGTATTATTGGTATTAATACATTGTACGATTCATGTAAACCGGCGCTCGTCACATGCCATAGCTATTAAATATAATAACTCGAACGGCCTTGAATCGCAGCCATCAAGCGTAACTATCTCGTGGGGAATTAGAGGATAATTAGTATGCGGGATTCGGTCGCTATTCAAAAATAGTTTCCAACTCGGAAAGCCTGGGGATTTGGGGCAGTCACCTCGCCCACCTCCGATAAGGTCGCCTATACCCTTCGTGGCTTCCTCGCGAATATAAATGCGAAGATTCTGTTTTGTGGTGCGTTTGACAGCGATATATTTACATCAGTTCAACTAGTATGCGGTTTAATGAATGAAAGCTGAGAGAAACCGCCGTATAACGTCTATTTAAATAAAACACTTTTAAAGATTTAAAACGCGAAGTGTAGTCGCAGTAATGGAACTTTCGTGTTTAAAACCGTTAAAAGTGTTTATATAAAACATCTAAACAAGATGCGCTGTCGGCTTATGTTGTATTTGAAACTTGAGAAATCCACAGACTAATACCGAAACAAAATCTTATTAGCGGACGATTGACTATCGACCATTTAATTTTCAGATTTCCAGATAAAGTCCAACAAGTCTCATAAAAATTATAAATTGATTAAAAACATGTTAAACCTTTATTAAATCGAACTCCCAAACTGTAGATTATTAAAAACGCATCGCTACCACTAGACTAACGATCGTATAAATAAAATAACAATCGCTCGCACTCTGGCCACGTCCTATGGTCATTTGGATTCCACGCGAGGCGCAGCGGCGGGATAAAGAAATGAAGGCAAATTGAGCGACCGCCCCCCACACATTCTTACAATGAATCAATCTGTATGATAACAGCTGCCGGAGGCTTAAGCTTTTTATGATTTTCTCAAATTACGGCTTGCATTGAGCCTTGTTACAGTGTTATAGGACTCAAAATGAAACAGCAATAAGACTGATAGATGTAGTAGAGACTTGCAACGTTTTGTTGTATTGAACGATTCTTATTCATATTGGAATTCACTTTACTTTTTACGACTTCATACTTTATACGAAGAATTTATTTCAATTTAAGTAATGTTGATAACGCACACCTCTACGAGAGCTAATTAAATTCTTTTATAATGTGGGATAACGGATGAGAAAACACTTATAACCGTTTAAAACGTGAAATATATTAGATAACTTAATTTATACTGCTCACGGGGGGACATCGAAGCATCGGAATTGGGTCATTCATTAAAAATAAGTAAAGTAATATATTGCGAGTTTCTAACCGTTAATAGTGTACCGGTAAACGAAGGGATTCCGTGATTGTTTTCTGTAAGTTTATTCGCGTTTCGGGTTCAGTCTGTAGATTTCCGAATATCTAAATCCAAAATGGGTCGACAGCGCATCTTGTTTAGATGTTGTGTTGCTGGGACATTTAATCTACCATCAAGCGAACACCATTCTTGTCTGTCCTCTATATTAAAAAAAATAGGTACATTCTGGAATCTCACACGATTCGTAACGACATTCTCTTACAAATGAAGACGTTCCGAGGGCGGTCTTTTGTCTTTCGCAGCATTGTGGAGTTTTAAGAGGCTCGAACAATTGGGGCGCGAACAAAATGACTAGCAAGGTCTCCGTGGAAATGTGGGTTAACGTGTGATTGAAATGCTTCTATTAGCCATGTCCCCTTACACTCTTTTATTAGGCTGTGACCCTCATCACAGAAAGTTAACGGCTGTTAGAGTCTCACTTCGATTAAATATGCGCTATACGGTAATCTCAGGAACTACGGGTTCGAATTGAAAAATTATTTGTGTTGGTTAGAGAGTTTATCGAGGAAGGCAGGAAGCGCAATGTTTTATAGCCGTTTCGGATGCTTTGCAACAGCCGTGGTCACGGGGAGACAACACGGGGAAACGTCGCGTCGGGCCGAAGTTAAAAATCATTTTCAAATAAGTTTAACTAATATATTGCGTTTTAGACCGTTGAAGTGTTTTATTTAAAAAATCGTTGTTCTAAGAATTCGGAAGCAAAGAATTAAGAAAACGGCTTTTTTCATCAGAGGACGGTGATTCGTGACCCGGATGTAATTTCGATATTCCTACTACCCATTTAATATCCAGTTTTCCAAATGAAGTGCAACGTATTAAAAATATATAAATTGAAAAATTTAAATTAATGGTTTAAAACGCGATATTTTGTAGTTTAACTTATTTGAGCTACGGCCCGACGTTTCGGATACTTTGCAGCATCATTGCTACAGGCAGTATTTACATGTTTTTTGTTGGACCCGGTGGCCATCGAACCCACGACTAGTGGATCATCGGCCATACGTTGCTAAAAATTTTGCACAATTGTTTGCTTTAGTAGATAATTTCATATATAAGCCAGTATTATTCTTTTCGACAAAAAAAATATCACTTAAAAGTGTCATTTTGTGAGATCACTCGCACCTGATCAAGATTATTGTGTCTCCAAAATTACTTGGAAACTTTTGTGGAAAAGAATTTCCGCGGAAATATACAAACTTTTCAGCAAAAACATCTTAAGTGCTGTTTTAATACATATTTGGGACTTCTTCGATATAACTTTAAAAGGCTTGGAAAATATATTTTAAAGGTCACAATTGGGAGAGGCGAGTTCTTTGATCATTCTACATAAAAGCTATTAAAAAATGGTTTAATTTTATTTTACAATTTCTCCATTATAAGCCTCACATCAAAATGGTTTTAAGACCCACATACGTAATGTTATAAAACGTGTTTCATAAAAATGGTCAGCATCTCTTAAGGATAATTATATTATCAATAATTCACTAAGATATTCTCTTTGCGCATATTTAAAGCGGAAAATTGATTCTTGCGCTATATTTACTTATTTCCTTACATCGAGTCGACATCTACTTATTCTATATGTAGACAATAATATTATAAAACAAATTTACATGGTTGTTTTTACATGTTTTACTAACATTCGTATAAACTTAACAATGTAACAATTTTAATGTATTAACAATATATATTATAATAAACTAACCAACTATTAAATGAACAAACAATTAGCATTTACACGCTAACATTTTATTTTTGTTTACCAATATACGCTGATCTCAATTACACATAATCTACTTCACAGTGGTCGTTTATATAGAGATTTAGCGTTCGCCTTCTTAAATTTTCTATATTTTAATTATATGTGCCTGTAGTTGTTTTAACTTTGTCGACATCCTTTTGTAAAATGTATTGTATGTTACTATCAAACACAAAAATTTAAAACTTTCATATTTTTAAACGGTTTTATTTAGCTCGACCCGTACGAAATTTATTATGGCCGCCGATACAAAATGGCGCATTACATACTTTTCCTTACCCCGTGAATATGGGTATAGGAAAGGGCTTGATTAGTAAAAGACGATGATTATGTCAATTTTTTTTAGTAGTTTTCAGCACTTCAACTTTTCAATAAACCGTTTAACTTAAAAGTTTTTTACTGATTTTTATTTATTTATACGTTGCTCAAGATGGCACTGGATTCGAAAATTTTGTTAATTTATTTTTGATACTAAGCAATTCTTAAGTGATTAAAAGGTTTTGTATAGTGTACATATAACAAAAACCACTTATGATTATTAAATATACTGTCTGTACTATTAATAATGCACTTGAAACCGGCAAACGCGATAGACAAAATAATTTTCAAATAAGTTTAACTAATATATATCACGTTCTAACCCGTTAAAGTGTTTTATTTACACTTATGATTATATTCGAATGCACATATGAACTCATGCGCCGACGCTCGATTGATGCTAGTGTGCGGGGTATCTTAATTGAAAATAAATGAATTGTACTGTCTGGCATAATATTAAATAAAGCCGCTTTTTTGTCCCTATGTGCGCTTAAATCTTTAAAATTACGCAACGAATTTGTTTTTTTTTATAGATAGAGTTGTAAGAGGAAGGTTTATATGTATAATAACATCCATAAAAAGTGGAGAAATACTAATATTTTTGAGAAAAAATTTCTTACCACTTATACATTACTAACGCAGGCTGAACCCTACAAAATATTGAGGGACGTTATTTGCGGTGGCAACGGCCGGACCAAATCCGGAGCGGGCCGCTACGTTTTTATATACGACGTTCACAGTTTTTCTGTACTGTAGTATCAGCATCAGGGGGGGTATGGGGGGAGAACGGATTTAACATCTTTCCGGCCCCAACTGTCAACCTCACCTGCACGCGCGGACAACACATCCGCGGCGGTATTTATACCGCGGTCCCCCTGCTAGATAACCGACGAGGCAATGGCGACCGAGCAGTGGCGGTATAACCACACTCCTGACCAGAGGTCAGAAGAGGCCGCAGGGGCCTTGGGGTACAAATAACCCCTAAAATATCTGGTGCAGAAGGCAACGGGAAACCACTGCAACTAATCTCCCGAGAAAATCGTTATGGAAGTAGATACAAAAAGATCACGATTGCCTTGCGAACCGCCCAGCGAGCGGCGCCGCACCGCGTCCGGGGCGTGTGGTGGGAAATTGGCTACCGGCCATGTTGGAGTAGGAGACCAGGCCCCGCATGGAAATAATGCTACTGGAAACCCCATCAAGCTGCGAAAAATCCAGAAGATAGGCACGTGGAATATCCGCGGCTTGCTAAAACCCGGTAAATTTGACATCGTTGAGAGGAAAGTCACCAGGTGTAATTTATGCATTTGTGGACTAGCCGAAACGCACTGGAGAAATAACGGGCACTTTTTCACCGACGCCAGTGTAGTCTACTTTTCCGGCAATGACGACAGTAGCCAAAACGGAGTTGCAATTCTTGTTCCTAAGCATCTAAATAACAGTGTGATTGGGTATGAGGCAGTTAGCGACCGCATTATAACCATGAAGTTCAAAGCGTCACCTGTAAACTTAAACCTGATACAGGCATATGCTCCCACCAGTGAAGCTCTACCCACCGTCCTGGAGAGTTTTTACAAAGAACTACAGACAACAATTGCCAAAATCCCCAACAGAGAGCTACTTGTAATCATGGGTGATTTTAATTCAAAGATTGGAGCAAACTCTGCCCAGTATAGCAAGTGTGTAGGAAATTTCGGACTTGGAGTACGCAATGAAAGAGGCGAAAGATTTATGCAGTTCGCAGATGAAAACAACTTAGTGGTGGCAAACAGCCTATTTCAACACCACCCACGCAGACTATTCACCTGGACCTCACCTGGAGGTAGAGCCAAGAACCAGATCGACTACATACTAATTAGATCACGCTGGCGTACCTCCATTCTCAATGCTCACACACTTCCTGGTGCTGATTGTGGTTCCGACCATGAACTCCTGATCGCAAAAATTCGCTTGAAACTCAAAGCTACCCGACCTTCCATGAAAATAAGACGGCTTGAAGTAGCAGATAACGAAAAACTCAATGCAGTCTTTGAGCGAAAATGGAAGGAATGGACGGACATGAACCAAAATGAAGCTACACCAGACATGCTATGGAATAAAGCTAAATACCTAATCCAAAATGCAGTAGCGGAATCTATTCCAAGGACAAAAACACGTAAACGTCAACATTGGATGACGGACAGTACTCTTGCTCTAGTTGAAGAGAGGCGTCTTAAGAAAGCTGCAGGAACAGACATCAGAGAGTTAAATAAAATGTCTGCTGAAATCCAAGCTTGCTGCAGGCGAGACCACAACTGTCACCTTCGTAGCATCTGTGAAGATGTTGAGAAACACGCTATGAGGCATGAGTCTAGAGATCTGTACCACAAAATTCGTCTAATTACCAAATCTCTGCCGGCTAAAACCTGGGCTATTGAGAACGACAAAAATGAAGTGGTAACAGAGCTGGAACAAATCTCTGAAACGTGGAAGAACTACTGTCAGTCATTATTCCGAGACCCACAGTCGCAACAGTTTGCAAGCACAGACCCAGAACGGGAGAATTTGGAACCAGACATCCTCCTGTCCGAAGTAAGAGCTGCCATAAAACACTTGAAGAACAAAAAAAGCAACTGGTAGAAACGCAATTCCGATAGAGACAATTAAAGCCTTAGGAGAACGCGGCGACCAGATGTTTCATCTTATCTGCAACAAGGTATGGCAGACAGGAGTTTGGCCTTCGGAATGGACGCACACTGTTTTCGCACCCCTACACAAAAAAGGTTCGACAAAGAAATGTAACAATTACCGCCTCATTGCTCTAATATCACACGCTAGCAAAATAATGTTACATATCCTCAACGAGCGATTGAAAACTTACTTATCAAAAGAGATCGCTCCGGAGCAAGCCGGTTTTGTGAAGGGGAAAGGCACTCGGGAACAAATTCTCATCATACGTCAGATCATCGAGAAGTCAAGAGAATTCAATAAGCCCATATTTATTTGCTTTGTGGATTTCTCCAAGGCATTCGACTCGGTGAAATGGCCAGTATTATGGAAAACCTTGCTGGACATGGGCACACCAAAACACCTCGTTCACCTTTTAAGACGCTTATATGAAGAAGGCACAGCCTCAGTGCGCACAGATGATGTCTTTTCAGGTGACTTTCATCCTAGTGCCGGCGTACG